TTTTTTTTTTTTTTTTTTTTTTTAATTTTTTAATGTTTTTATTTATTTTTATTTTTGAGACAGAGAGAGACCAAGCATGAGCAGGGGAGGGGCAGAGAGAGAGGGAGACACAGAATCTCAAGCAGGCTCCAGGCTCTGAGCTGTCAGCACAGAGCCTGATGCGGGGCTTGAACTCACGGAGTGTGAGATCACGACCTGAGCTGAAGTCGGAGGCTTAACCGACTGAGCCACCCAGGTGCCCCCAGTCGAGCTTTTGACCCTTGATCCCAGGGTTATGGGGTCAAGCCCTGAGTTGGACTCTGCACTGAGCATGGAGTCTGCTTAAGATTCTCTCTCTCTCTATCGCTCACCCTGCCCCCTCCTCTGCTTACGCATGTGCTCTTTCTCTTAAAAAAAAATTAAAAAAATTAAATGCCCACTCAATTATCACCCAGAAAAAAATGGAGTGTAAAGAGCCCAGCACCTAATTTAAGTGCTAAATTAGCAACAGTTAGTAGTCATGCAGTGTGAGCGCTTACTCTAGGCCAGGCACTTAGGCATGTCACATGTATTAACACACTTAATCCTTACAAGAAGCCAATGTGAGAGCTACTATTTTTAGCCCTGTGTTTTCAGCCAAGGACACTGAGGCATAGAGTTTAGTTATTTGCCCAAGATCAAAAAATAACTCAAGTAAATCTGAGGCACTCTGCCTCGAGAACAGCCGAGCTTGCCTACCAGGCTACACTGTCTCCCTAAATGCGAGTTATTCCTTCCCCCACCCCACAAACACTGTGGAGAGAGGTCCACCGACATTCAAGGTTTATTCACTAAGAAAAGTCTCTAAGACTGTAACTAAGTGTTCTTTTTTTTTTTTTTTTAACGTTTGTTTATTTTTGAGACAGAGAGAGACAGAGCATGAACCGGGGAGGGGCAGAGAGAGAGGGAGACACAGAATCGGAAGCAGGCTCCAGGCTCTGAGCCGTCAGCCCAGAGCCCGACGCAGGGCTCGAACTCACGGACCGCGAGATCGTGACCTGACCTGAAGTCGGATGCCCAACCGACTGAGCCACCCAGGCGCCCCTGTAACTAAGTGTTCTTAAGTTTATCTTTTATTTCCCAAATCCTTATGAAAAGATCCTCTTTAATTTTTCTATTTTAATTTAATTTTAATTTTATTCTATTCTATTTTAATTTTAATCTATCATCTATCTACCTACCTACCTATCATCTATTATCTATCATCTATCTATCTGTCATCTAGCTAGCTAGCTGTCATCTGTCTATGTAATTCATATCTTCTAAAACTTTTAAATAAAGTATAACCACTTGCAAGTTGCAGAGTGAAGAGAAACCCTAGAAATGGTCTTTCAGTTTCACACTAATTCCTGCTTTAAAATCTTTTAAATTAAAAGTGGTGTTTGAAATTCATTAAGTGTAACAGATGACTCTCCGGTGATAAAAATATTTTTGCTTTAAAATACACATACTTGCTTTTTTTTTAAAAAAATGGTTATTTTCAAGTCCACAAAGCATATGAATGCTGATTCCTGGAATTCTCAAAAACTCTTTAGGCATGGGGAGAGAGGGAAGTCTTTTTTTTTTTTTTTTTAACAGGAACACAATTTGTCCTTGGAAAGCAAATCGAAAGACATTGAGGCTATGGTCAGAGGGCAGAGAGAAGAACGCCCAAAACTGGATCCCTCTTCTCAATCCGATAAATGCAATGCAATCAATACATTTTCAATGTCCTGGCATGAACTGGACCTCCCGTCCTGATCTGCAGCGTTAACTGTTGCTCTGGCCTTGTTTTGAATTTGATCACGAGGAAGGACAGAGTGTGCCCTATCTGGATTGCTCAAGCAGTGTGCCACAGGTATTCCTTCTGTGTCTCTTTTGAACTGTTGGAACTTGGCCCCAGTAACCTCAAACAAAACACTACATATTGTTTATAGTAATTTATGGACAAGGAAATCTGGCTTCATTTGGTTCCTTTTTTGGGAGGAAAAGCAGGTTTGATTTTCCTATTTTTTTACTTTGTTCTACTTTTACCTGCGTGTGAATCTCTGCTCATCTGGCGTGTGCATTCTTCCACGAGGACAGACTTTCTGACATTAAGAACTGCAGAGCCCCTGCGGCTCCTTCCTAGAAGGAGAGTATCGTGCCTTCCTCATCCTCCCAAGAGGTAGGGAGGGTTCTGAGCTGGATTAGTGCATTTCAGCTTGCGGCCCTCCGTAGCTACTGCCCACTCTCTAATCAGTGCTTGGAGACTGATCATAAAAGACACACTTACCCTCTTTTCATCTCCCCAACCACAGCCACCTCAAACCTGTTTTTGAAGTCAAAGCCATAGGACACACCTGTTGCGATCACAGTCTGCAAAGTTGCAAATTGCCCAAGTTAGAAATATGAGATAATGACTAACAGTCTGATTAGATAAGAATGTCAAGCCCAGGCTTTGCTACTTTTTACAAAAGTCCTGAAGCAATTCTAATGTGTCACCAGAGTTAAGAACCACAGCTCTGATTCCCGTGGGTCTGTCACCCTCTCCGAGACCTTGCTCTCTGAGCCGGCCACGTCTTACATGGAGAGAACAAACCCAAAATCATAAAAGGAAGTCATTTAATTCTGCATGAAGAGAACGCCATACTAAAGATTACACCCAGAAAATGCAGAGATGGCATCTGTCCCACTAACACCTCCTGATCTGCAAATGGCAAAGGGCTTTCAACAGAACAACAGGAGACTAATGAATTCTGGAAGAAAGTCTGAAGATGATCAGTTACCATGATGAGTTCAATTGGGATGGGCACCGGAAGTTTGGCTTTGTAGCGCTGATTTATTTCTTTAACCACAAATACAATCAGCAGAATAATCAAGGATGTCACAAGGTCTGCAATGTTAGTCTTCTCTATTTGTGTGAATATGGAATTCAGTACCTAAAATCATAAAAGCGAAAGACAGCCAAGTGCTATACTTTTTCTTTCTTTTTAAAAATCTTTTTTATTCTTACTTTTTTGTGAACTTTTAAAAAATTTGAGTGCAGTGGACACACGATGTTAGTTTCAGGTGTACAATACAGTGATTCGGCCTCTCCAGACGTTATGCTGTGCACATCACAGGCATAGCTCCCATCTGTCACCATGCAACTCTATTACAAGATCACTGACTGCATTCCCTATGCTGTGCCTTTATTTCCGTGACGCATTCATTTTACAACTCAACTATATCTCCCTCTCCCCTTTACCAACTCCGCCCAAACCCCCAGCCCCACCCCTCTGGCAACCATCAATTTCTTTTCTGTCTTTATAGGTCTGATCCTGCTTTTTGTTTGTTCATTGGTTTTGCTTCCCCCCGGCCAAGTGTTATATTAATGTACAATGTAGATGCAACATTTGATTATTTCCAAACAGATTTACAAGAAACATTGAGGCAAAAAGGCAGACATAGATGGCATAGCAATCCTCTGTTCTGCTCATGTTAACCATGAATCAGTAATTGTAGCTACTACCATGGAGGTAGGAGAAAGGTAGGTTAGCATAGTATTGGCACCACACTGGTTTAGGGATGCTTTTGGTATTTTTGCTGGGAAGCTTTTTGGCCGGTGTCCAAAATTTTCACATTTTTCACAACTGGTCTCTCCGCTCTTCGGTCTCGTTGGCCATTATTCCACAATCATCATCATTGCTCTATCCAGGGAATAAACTCTGGTCCCCAAAAGTTTTCTTAGCATGTGTCTCCTTAATTCCCGGCCTTTTTTTTTTTTTAAAGGTCAAAGCCCTTCACATTTCTTGGTTTACTATCTGTCTCACTTTTGGGAATTCGTTTCCTAGTTAATTGTGCATTGTACATAATCTTAATTTTTTTTTTTAGTTTTATTTATTTATTTTGAGAGGGAGAGAGAGTTTGTGTGTGTGCACATGAGCAGGGGAGGGACAGAGAGAGAGAGGGAGAGACAGAGAATTCCAAGCAGGCTTCTCATTGTCAGCCTGCCTTGGGGCTTGAACTCACGAACCGTGAGGTCATGATCTGAGCCAAAATGAAGAGCCACTTAACCAACTGAGCCACCCAAGAGCCCCTGCATAATCTTAATTTTGAGGCCACTTGGATTCCATATCCATGGGATCCATATAGCTCAAGCAGGCCCAAAATAGATCTCAAATTGTTCCTCGAACATTCCACTTCTAGAATAGCTCTCAATGGGAGTGAGAGAGTGTTGGTTCCAATATGGAGCAAATTGTCTCAACTCCCAATAACTAATAAGCCCAACTAATAAGCCCAAAGTTAATCAAAGCAAGGACATAACAAAGATCGGAGTGGAAATAAATGAAATAGAACTAAAAGGACAATAGAAAAGATCGATGTAACCAAAAGCTGATTTTTTGGAAAAGATAAATAAAACAGGCAAGCATTTAGCTAGACTTGGCAAGACAAAAAGAGAGAACTTAAATGAAATCAGAAGGGCTAAGAGGCACCTGAGTGGCACAGTCAGTTAAGTGTCCAACTCTTGATTTCCGCTCAGGTCATGATCTATGGTTGTGAGATAGAGCCCTATGTGGGGTTCCACCTTGAGCTGGGAGCCTGCTTAAGATTCTCTCTCTCTCCCTATTTCTCTGCCCCTCCTCTGCTCTCTCTCTCTCTCTCCTTCTCAAAAAAATAAAATAAAATAAATTGGGCTTTAAATAATCAGAAGCACTAAGGACATGGTCATTCTACAGTACATCCTCAGGTAGAAGAAAGAGCGACTGCCCTATTTACACATTGGTTAATGTCCTTTTGCTTTATAAACAGGGATGCATCAAAGAGAAGAACCTCAATTTTAAAAGAACAAGAACTGCCTTTGAGAAACAGCGAAACGTTAACGTTCAATTAGCACATTTCTTTCAAAATAAAATTTGGAGGAAAGTTTTAAATCTTGGGACAAAATAGGAAAGCCTTTAATAAGGCACTTCAAGTTTTTCTTTTAAATAATACTTAAGAGTCAAATCTCAGAGCACTGGTACTTAATTTCCTTTGTTCACGTTGACCGGATGGTAGACGTGGTTGATATTCAGTGTTCTCCCCTTTGCCACTAATTTTTTCCTAATGTCACTAAATATCACCACCCGTTGACTTCTTGGAAGTTGTAGGCAAGCCCCACGACGAAGGCATTACCGGAAAGTTCTCCCAGACACATGATAGTAAATTTCACAGACTTCGATACTTTTTAGGCCAAAGGACTACTCACTTTGAAAATTGAAAATGGATCAGTGTGTGCAGGAACATTCAGCTGAAGCATAAACTTGAGCTGAGAAACCAAAACGTGCACGGCAGCAGCTGTGGTGAAGCCACTGATTAGGGACTCCGATAGATAGATCACCACGAACCCAATCTGCAGAACACCCATGAGCAACTGGGAAGAGAAGGGCAAAGGCCTTTGTTAGTGTAGATTACCGACACAGCTCAACAAACTAAAGCACCAGCCGCTGAAATGATTCAAAATGTAAAGGTTCAGCCTGTATGCCTGTGTCTTGAAGCAGGTGTCCTTGTCTCCTGGAACACCTCGGGTTCAGGGTGCCTCCCTCCCCTTCCTTCCCATATCCTACCCGCAAGGTCGATCATGACATAGTGTTCACATAGCGTGTGAGTCTAGTATACCCCAAGAAGTAGCAGGCTTATTCCTCCCCGCTCCACCTTTTAAGATGCCGTACCTTTAGAAGACTCACCCAACATACCTTCCATAGCAAAAGCTTATCTAGAATCAGCCCTCATAAATTTTCCCATGTAATTTTAAGTGCCTTTCTAGCTGCTATGGCATTCATGGGTGATCATCCATTCATGTTCCTTCCAACAAGTTACTTTCATAGGAAGGACACAACTGTGTATTAAACCTCAGAAGTGCTCGCTTTTAACCAGGGGCCACAGTTGTTAATTCCCCCAAAGCATCAGTATTTTGCAGTAACGTGAATGGACAGATTCTCCTTCCTTTGGATATCTGGATGGCCTTTCCATTCGCGTCTTGGAATGCAGCCGGATCTGTGGGCACGCAAAGGCACTAGATGCAGAAATGTTATTTAAAAGAACCGGCCGTGTTGTCTGTCAGTTGGACACACGGCTGATGTCCTTGTTTAAATTGACTTTTTTTTTTCTTTAAAGAATGGCCTTAGCCAATAATATCACTAATCATAAACGTAGGCAACATCTTGAGGAATCCATGACATTTTCACTATTCCCTAGCAATGGTGTCAGGGGCATGAATGAGGCTTTAGCCTCTCCATAATCCTCTATAGCTTTCCCGAAAGTCTGGTGTGGACAGTTCAAAGTGCTAAACCCCAACCCTTCCAGCTAGATTACAGTCCCTGAGGAATTAGAACGAGAAAAGTTCCAAAGATGCCAGTGTCACTGTTACTTGCATATAGTTATGTTTAGTGACTATATTAATTTCAGGTATTTTACTGCATTAAGCATTTCTCTCCTCGCCACTGGTGCCTCCCTATTCCTACCTTTCCTTCTCTCTAGACCCACGTTCACTCATCTTTGCAAGGTGGATCTTCTCTTCTGCTTCTGGTTGGGGGGAGGGACCCTTCTTATTTCCCGAAAGAGGGATACAGTCCAAAGGGAAGAGTGGAGGGGTGGCAGGAAGGAGAAAGAACGGAAAGATGTGCACCAGGGAGGGCAAGCAGAATGGGGAGGGCAGATCACACGAGAAAGTGCTCACCTGAATGATTCCAGAAAGGATTGTAACCGTGGCAGCCACCATCACCTTATACTCATCTGCTGATGAATCATTACTCATCGAGCTATTAGAGAGTTCCAGAGCAGCTGTACTCTCCGACGGGGTTAATCTCACAACTACTGCTCCCACCATCATACTCAGAACTGGAAACGGACCTAATTAGCAGAGGATGCATTGTAGTCAATATACGCCTCCCTAAGGCACAATTATCTTTCAACCATAACGTAGCGGACAAAAAGACTGCTCCCTGTAGCTCTGGCCTCCTTCCCCAGCCCCCAGTCCCAATTCTTACAAGAAACCATGACTGCCGTCCTGGGTTATGCACAATTTGAAATTAATCCAGTGCGTGGCTAATGGAGTCAACAAAGAAAAAGCAGTGTGAGCATTAATTAGCCGAAGAATTCACTTACCCACAGATATGTGTTTAGAAGTGCCCAAGAAAAAGTAGACTATAACCGGGAAAAAGGCTGCATACAGTCCGTAGCTTGGGGGGATGGTGACCAGCAGAGCAAATGCTAAACCTGTAAATACACAAGCATCAGGGTCTTTATTTCATGCAAGGGGAATCATAGAAGTCTTCATTAAGTCCTTCAAGTGTTTCAGACTGAACCTTAAAAATAAGTTACTTGATTACTCAAAGTGATTGAAGATGTAAATGTAGGAGCTCAAACTATAATACTCTTAGAAGAAAATATAGGCGTAAGTCTTCTTAACCTTGGATGAGGCAATGGTTTTCTCATAAATGACACCTACAGCGTGAGCAACAAATTGAAAACAGATAAAATTGAGCTCTGTCAAAATTAAATGTGTGCTTCAAAGGATACCATCAAGAAAGTGAAATGACAATCCACAGAATGGGAGAAATTATTTGCAAACCATATCTTGGATAAGACTGTAGTATCCAGAATATATAAATAGCTCTTGCAACTCAACAATACAAAAAATAACCTAATTTTAAACTGTGCAGAAGATTCATTTCCCCACGGATATACAAATTGCCAGTAAGCCCGTGTAAAGATGTTCAACATCATTAGCCGTCAGGGAAATCAAAATCAAAAGTAAATGAGATACCACTTCAGACTCACTCGGATAGCTAAAACAAGAAAGGCAGATACTAGCTAGTGTCCACAAGGCTGTGGAGAAATTTGAACCCTTGTATGTGGCTAGTGGGTTACCATGTGGCAGCAATTACTCTCTTAGGGATATACCAAAAAGAATTGAAACACAGGTTCACACAAAAACTGGCACACAACTGTTCATAACAACATTATTCATAATAGCCAAAAAATGAAAACAACCCAAATGTCCATCAACTGATGAATGGATAAACAAATGTGGTATACCCATACCATAGGATGACAGTCATCATGGAAAGAGGGGAATTACCCTCACATGCTACCACGTGGATGAACCTTGAAAACATTGTGTTAAGTGGAAGAAGCCAGATACAAAAAATTCTGTGATTCTGTTTATATGAAATGCCCAGAATTGGCAAATCAATAGAGACAGAAAGTTGTTACCAGGGAGATGGATGGATGGATGGATGGATGGATGGAAAGTGACTACTAATGGACAAGAAGGTTTGGGGATGGTGCTGGTGATAAAAACGTCCTGGAATTGCATAATGACGATGGTTGCACAACCTTGTGAATATACACAAAGAACACTGAATTTTATACATTAAAAGGATGACTTTTATGATATATGAACTACATGTCAATGTTACTTTATTTTTTGTAAATGTTTTTATTCACCGTTGAGAGAGAGAGAGAGTGAGGGAGAGAGAGAGACAGAGCGTGAGCAGGGGAGAGGCAGAGAGAGAGGGAGACACAGAATCCGAAGCAGGCTCCAGGCTCCGAGCGGTCAGCAACACAGCCCAATGTGGGGCTTGAACTCACGAACCGTGAGGTCATGACGTGAGCCAAGTTGGACACTTAAGCGACTGAGCCACCCAGGCACCCCAATTACATCTCAATTTTATTTTTTAATCTTTTTTTATTTTTATTTTTTACATTTTATTTATTTTTGAGAGACAGAGCACGAGCAGGGGAGGGGCAGAGAGAGAGGGAGACATAGAATCCAAAGCAGGCTCCGGGCTCTGGGCTGTCAGCACAGAGCCTGATGAAGGGCTCGAACTCACAAACCGTGATATCATGACCTGAGCCGAAGTCAGACACTTAACCAACTGAGCCACCCAGGCGCCCCACATCTCAATTTAAAAAAGTTACCTTGCAGTACAGCTACCAGCCCTGTGCTGATTCCGGAAACAATGTCACTGAGTAGCCATTCCTTTATCCGGTAGGCTGGTAACCAAGATGCTATGGGGAACAAAGACAGGGCGATTCTCTTGGCCTTTTGTGTGGAACAGCTGAAAACATTGAAAACCATACTCAGTTAATTATTATCAAATTTTAACATTGGGACCTAATTGTAGAGGAAAATTGATAAAGGTGATACCATATTCAAGAATGAACGACCACGTTCACTACCTTTCCCCCTGACATTTGCCTGCTTATCCATATGGACTGCCTCCTGGTCACTACCAAAGGATTTTCTTCCTTTCTTTCCTTCTTTCCTTTTCTTTCTTTCTTTCTTTCTTTCTTTCTTTCTTTCTTTCTTTCTTTCTCCTTCCTTCCTTCCTTCCTTCCTTCCTTCCTTCCTTCTTTCCTCCCTCCCTCCCTCCCTCTCTCTCTCTCTTTCTTTCTTTCTCTCTTTCTTTCAAAACATGCTGATTCTCTTTGGCCATAATAGAGCTTATGTGTCATCCTCAGCTTGGATTTTACAACGTTTCAGTGGAGAATTTTCCTCCGCCCTCATTTATTAGTCCTCTGATAGGGAAGTTGGGGTTGAGAGCTGAGACGATGTTCATTTTAGAGATTCCCTTTCCAGCTCTGACAGGGAGTAGGAAGTTTGGACACCAAAGATAAAAAGACTCTGGAGGCTATGGGCTAAAGCCAGAAAGGAGAGCTTGAGAAGTTAAGGAGAAGGTGTCTCACTTATTCCTCATACCAGTACCTTAAAAAGTATCTTACCTACAACACACTTTGAGATGATCCAGAAAGGTCTTGTGATGCCTCTGCTTCTTCTTATGTTCTTCCCCAAAAGCATTCGCAGAATACACTGGCCTGGCTACAATGTACTGATTCCCAATGGGTTCGATCATTTTGCTTGCTCTGACGACTGTGGTAAGTGGGAGACCTTTGGAACTGTGTGGCAAACTGTTCTTGCCTTCAGCAGGTTCAAATGCCTGAAACCAAACAGGGCTTGCTTCTTAAATAACTCGGAGATAATGTGATGCAATTTACAGATGAGTGATCTCCGAACTGAATGTTACCACCTTTTGAGATCAAAAGAGACAGGATTAAGGGACCTAGATTGTGTTTTGCGACAGTGATATCACTTTTTACTCCAGTGAGCTGGACGCAGCTCCTTTGGGTAAGTAAACAAGGGCTTTTATTATTTATTTTTAAAAGATCACCAAAAAGCAATAAAAATGGACTCAGTTTACTAATCAGTGAGTGCATTTTTTTTTATTTGTAAGGTGTGATCTTATCAAGAAAAGGAATATAATTTTTTTTCCTTAGGAACGTTTCCAAGGTTGTGGCATTAGAGTCCTGGGACAGCTGAGATTTAAAGCCTATTCATTGCCCCTTACCTTCCTGTCAAGGCTATTCCATTTTATACATCTGAATTTTTGTAATACCTATGAAATGCTTGAACTTTGGGAAATTCAAGGATATTGCCCATTTATTTTTCTATTGTTTCTAGGAGAGTTTTTCCGACATGTAGCTGAGGAAACTATTGCACAAAGCAAGTATTACTTGCTTACTTCGTTGACCAGTGAGATCTTTTTAAGAGATTTTGGCCAACTTTGTCAACCTCTCTGAGCCTCATCTATATCATTGAGCTTGTAATACTCAAGGTTCAGGGCGCCTGGGTGGCTCAGCCAGTTAAGCGTCTTACTTCAGCTCAGGTCATGATCTCACGGTTCGTGGGTTTGAGACCCGCGTTGGGCTCTGTGATGACAGCCAGGAGCCTGCTTTGGATTTTGTGTCTCCCTCTCTCTCTCTGCCCCTCCCCAGCTTCCACTCTGTCTCTCTCTCTCAAAAATAAGTACATTAGAAGTTTTTTAAAAATAATACTCAAGTTTCAAGGTAACTCTGAAGATTATATGAGAACGTTTTTACAGCATCTGGAGCATCTGGCATGGCGCCTGGCACACTACAGACTTCCGCTAAGTGATCGTTCACTTCCTAGCTATTTGCATTTTCTGCCTAAGATGTTTGTATTTTTCGTTGTTGTTGTTGTTCTTATCTCAATCAATTTTGCAAAATCTTTTTAATGCACCTGACCTATTTGGCCCTCACACTCCTTTAAGGCGCTTCTTGTTCTTAGTGTCCTCTTCCTACTAATGAGAAAATAATAGTACGCTCCTCACCACAAAAATCCAAGTACTCTTCCTCGGGTAAGAGAGCTAGTGGAGGGTCAAAAACACAGTTTCCGATTTCAGATTTCTTTGCTGTGTCTTCTACAGCATGTGCGGCTTCTCTATTGTCCAACGTGCAGGTGAGTGAGGACCTTTCCAACTACCATCAGCATTTTCCCCTGTATCCTTGTTTCTGTGTCGCTACCCACAATCCCCAGAATTTTGTTCCCTGACCTCAGTCACAGTTATTAATTGAATCATTTCAAACTAGATCGTACCTTGTGGCATGGAGCTCTCTCACTGCTCAAGGGATTTCCGGCGTGTTTGCGGAGCTCAAGTGACAACCGGGAATCAGACGGGGCCGCAATTTCCGTTCCACCTGTCTTGTCTTTGACCACCCATTTCTCTCCCCCATCCTATTCCCTAGTGTCCTCTAAAGTCCTCTCTACTGATCTTCTCTGACCACTGTGGAGAGCTTCTGCCTCACCTTCTGGCTTGACCTCCAGAATTTGGGGTGTTTTTGAGCTTTGTTGTGACTGTCAGACCTCCTCTGTTCTTCTTTCTGAGACTTCTCCCCTCCAAACGAGCTGCTTGTTTTCCTGGCCTCTTCTCTATCCGCCCCCCCTCCACCCCATCCCCCCACCCCAGGCCCCAAGTGTCAAATCTCACCAATTACACACTACTCCTCATTGTCAGAAGAATGTTCAAGAAGTGGGATTGGCTCACTTATTGCTATGCATGGCACGGATTTTTGTCCTGTGCCAATTACCGACAATACAGCTGGGGCGTTAACACTTCACAGCTAATCCCCGTCAATGACTCTTGACACCTTAGATCTCTTGCAAACGCTGTCTGGAGTGTCTTTCAAGGACAGCTTTCATCCTGTGAGGTGTCCCACCTAGCCACCCTTAGGATGGAGAAGACGCCAGCACCGTGCCCTTATTTCATATGTCAGATGCTGCCGTGGACAGAAAAAAGAGATTCCGCTATTTTGTCACTTTACTCCTATTTTCACCAAGTTGTCCAGAAAAAGTCATCAACTCTTTCTTAAGAAAGTACTTCTTTTTCTTCCTTTTGCTTCTGTATGTTTTTTCTCTGCTGAGACACGGTTTGATTTTTTTTTTTTTTCCAGTCACATCGATGGTGGAAATAACTTCGTTTCTCTTTGCTTCCTTGCCGGAGGATGACCATGGCTGGTTCTTGAGTGGGTTCCGTCATACCTCCAGCTGGATCAAGGGCCTGGACACCGCCATCCTGCCCCACATTGGAAAGTTCCTCCTCACCCCAAGCACCTACTACAAGGCGAAGCGCTCAAGGGTAGGCATCAGGGCAGCTAAAGAAATCTTTCCAGAATTTAGAGAAAGAGACCTTGAGGGTCACATTCCAGTCTTGTGGTTTGTTCTTTTGCTGCCCTCCTTGCTTCCAAAGCTGCTGCCTCCTGGTCCACACGTAGCACACAATGTGTGAGCCACTGAATCAACCGCCGTGATGGCAATTCTGCCCGGAGAAGGTCCAGATAGTCATAAATTACTGTCATTCTCCGTTTCATCGTTTCTGGGATTCTTTAGTATGACCTACATTAGTTAGGAATTTGAAAACAATTTTCTTAACTTTTTTTTGTTTGTTTGTTTGTTTTACCTGAACAAATTACCTTGCCTCGGAAATTCTTGGAAAAAAATTTTTCTTGCTTCCTAGAATTACAATTCCGGTCTCGTCTCCAGGATTACACCCATATTAATATATGCCTTTTCATGTTCTGATTTATCATCATGCCTCACATTTCTCTCTGGGTTTCCTAGGGTGTCAGTGGCTTTTAGGGGATTGAAATTTTTTCTTAGGCATCTTTCCTCCTAATAATTTTAGAACTCAAAGCCTTGTTTTTACACATTTCCACTTTTATTTCCTTTCCGATGATGTGTTATTTAAAATTTTTTGGCCTTTGTGACATATATGTCATATACGTAGACTCACATATATGCATATGTATAGACCTATGTGGTTCTGAGGCTCAGTCATACACACTCGTCTTTCTCAGCTTTTTTTT